AGCTCCTGAGAGCAGCTGATCTTTCTCTGCTTCATGTCTTAAATATTAATAAGTACAAAACGTTCAGAAAGTGACTTGAAATGAGATTCCATTCATTAAAATGAGAAATTGGAGGGAAAAAACATGTAGCAGGAGAGAACTCTTTGCACAGAACATTATAGATAGGACTGAATCTGGATTAGGCTTAGATATACTCACTGTTCCTTCCAGTTGTAGTTAGACATGTCCAGAAGAGAATACACCAAGCTTTATTGTCAGTGTATATGGATGGGTTGAGTTTGTCTTGTTGTGTTACTGCGCTCCTGACAATTCTCAGGATATTATTCAGGAGCATTTCAGTGTAGAACTGATGAATACCAAACGTAATCCTGATACTTTCCAGTCCCTCAATTTGCACATCCCTTCCTYATGATAAGACCAAAATGTCCCGGTGTTGACAACTATGTCTATATTTGTTCATCCAAACACAGCCTGGCTTTTCTTGAATACCAGGGCTCTTACGTTGGACTTCTGCAGAAATGTATTTTGAGACTGAAAAGAGAATATGAAGGAGATGGAATGTAAAGATGAGAGCTAGGGGGATGCTGGATTTTCAGTGTCATCTTCAGTTTTCTGAAAAGCTGTTTTTCTAACAAAAGAAGCATGGATACTTGGGAGGTTACTGTACTGTGTCATATTCTTGTAGGGCCTTTTTGACCTGGGGTGGAATTCATCCATGATGTTTTAGTGGTTTCTTTGTTTTCCCTCAGGCTCCAGACTAGCACTTGGTGAGGCAATGCTGTTTGATTTCATGTAGCAGGTTTGTGTTTTGTTAACAGCTGAGGAAACCTGACTGGAGCCTGTGTTGTGAAGCAGAGTTGTTTCTCTTAAAAGTTCACATGAAGATTCAGCTAGCAGGCCACAGACTGCACTCATGTGAAAATTAAATGCAACAACAGAAAACCAAAACCTGTAAATACTTATAGGAGATTCTGGGGTGAGGTAAGGCAGATTTCAGACAGCGGCAGTGCATGTGTTGTGCTTCCCTGAGTTCCCTGTGCATCCCAWCCTCTTCCATGTTCACGCAGCATGGGGTGGCAGGGGCACAAAGGGTTCCCCATAGGAACACACCTCATAAACAATTTCTTTTAGACTGAACAGGCAGGATGGCTCTCATTATTCCTTGGAAGCTGGTTTTCTGCTTACTGAAGCCTCTCTCTGAAGGCTGAAAAGTTTCTTGTAGACCTCCTTGTGATTTTTATGTGAAGGTTTGGGAAAACTTTATTTTTCTGTTCTTAGTATAAAATTGGAATTCGAGTGTATGTTGGTTTTGGTTTTTGAGTCTTGTTATCTTCATTTAAAATGGAAGTTCTGACATTATTGGGGGGGTTAATTGAGGGTTTACATGTTAGATCAAAAKAAAGGCATCTCTTCCCTTGCCCTCTGAAAAAGGAATAAAACTTCAGGCTTGAAGGATTTATGTTAGCTGGTAGATATTAATGGCAACTAAAAAAAAACTTTAAAGATTATTTTAGTTAGGGTTTTTTTAAAGCGTGGAAAAAATAGACCTTTTTCACTTGATTATTGTGACATGTATGACAGTGTTAGGAAATGGCAGTGTCTGAAATGCATGGAGTTAAAATACTTGTATTTTTATTGGAGTATTACAATATTTGTTAATAGTTAGTTTAAAAGCTGAATGTGATGTGGGCCTCCCTTCACACTCTGAGCTCCGCATCTGCAGAGTTGCTTGGTGGTTTTGYTGTTGTAGATATTGGGAATTACTGGAACCAGCCTGAAACTCACAGCTGAACCAGCTGAGCTCAAAATGGGTGTTTGGGTCCAGGATGGGTAGCTGAGAGAAGGTGAGGAATGAGTAGCTGTGATGGGAAGTGTTTTGATATTTAGTTATTTAATTACTACATTTTACAATAAATCTAATTCTARATCAGATTCTGCTCTTCCATTTTATAAAAGCTTCTTCAAATTTATTTAAATTTGACTCAAGTCAGTTGGAATACAGAATCTCTAAGAATCTTTTTTCCAAGTGAGCCTGAAACTGCTGAAATATCACCATAAAAAAAAAAAAAGTTGCTAGTTGCAGGAACAGGCTGCTGACATAAAAAGCCTGTCTTAGATCCAGCATTTGGCTGGAGGCCAGATAATGAGTTTTATAGGAGCTTGTTGGCAAGCTTACATTTTTGCTTAGGTTAATGTAGTGTAACTGTAAGTAATTTGGGAACCTGGTACATGCAAAACAATTTTTAGACAAAATGATCTTATTATTTTTAAATTTTAACTGAGAAGATATTTTTATATAGCTGCTTCTTTTTACTTCAAGCACTTTAGAAATGCCTTGGAATGTGGTTCTTTGTTATGTCCTCTTTTAATGATTAACCTACTGAATAATCCTTTAAAAATACTGGTCCTCGATGACATGTCTGTTTTGCTAGCCTCAGAATTTTGGCTGACTTCATTGAGTAGAGTGATTTAAAGAAAGATTTGCATTTTTAAAAGGCTAGGTGGTAATGTGTAGAGGTAAGTCATCAGTTTTGTGAGTAAAAAAATATCATAAATGTGGTTCATGGGTAATCTGTTGGCCAGGTTATTCTGTGACTGAGGGCTGAAATGCATGAACCATCCTAGGATGAGAATGAAGCTTAGGATTTCAATTCTCCAAATGGTGTCCATCCCTGGCAGTTATGCTGGTAGGACTTTTCACTGTCCTCGTGGCTTTTTCAGTCTTCTTTCAAAGCTTGATTGTAAGGGAGATTTCTTTGTCTCGAGCTGTTGTTGATGCTTCTCATTTATTTTGTGTGATAAGTGARTGTGGAATCTATGCTAAGGGGAAAGAAAACTGAATTCTGATCTTGAGCCATCYGTGGACATGCTGGATATGCCAGGGCATAAAAGATGTCCAAATCCAGCCCTGGCCTCTGAGGAGCAGYTGATAAATGTGGTATTAGCAGGAGAATGCTGAGAACTCCTGTTTCTGTGCAAGACAGCAATGCTCATCTGCAGTAGCTGCTCCATCCCTAAGAGGGAYAGAGAGGGCATGGGATGCATGCTTGTTCTCCATCATTATCGGCTKATGGCTGCCAACCATTCCAGAGGAGGAGTAACACTCTGCCGTGCTTTATTATTTCTATGCATTGCTGTGTCATTAGCAGCCACAGCATGGATGATGAACAGATGGGATTTGGTTTACAGCTGCTTTGCTGCAGATCTCTTACATGGTGTATAAAACTGGTTGAGCATAGATGGAGATCATTCTGATGGGAGGGAGAGCAATGCAATTGTGCTGGTGCTTATCAGAGGTTTGAATTTCCCTCATACCATTTGTTCCCCAGTTGCTATTAATAGTAAGGCCTGGAGATATTTCTGGATGTGATAGCTGACAAGTTTCTTCATCAAATAGTCAATGAATGAGGAAGAAGTGTTTCTATTTTAAACTTAGCTTTGACAAGTAGAAGAACTTCAAAGAAAAGCTCTTCTTAGAAAATAACCTTGGTGTGAGTTACCACAAGTGGTTCTCTATAAGTGATAGATTAAACAGAGGACTGCAACTTTAAGCATATCTGATAAAAGAAGAATTTTGTGGGTTTTTTTTTTTTTTGCCAGCTGTACTGTAAGGGATTTGTATTAGTTTAAAACTTCTGTCTTTAATTGAAGAGTGCTAGTAAACCTTGGCAGAGGTGCAAACTAAGACATGTTTGAAGGGAACGATCTGGTTTGAACTTGGTGTGAATAGTCACTGCCAAAATGTTAGGGTAAGCAGAGAATCCACAGGGAAAGTTGAAGAGCTCTGTTGAAAAGAGGCTTGTCCTAGGAAGTGAGAATTGCCTCAGGTGCAAAGGCTGTGGTAGCAAAAAGTTTTTCTATTTTGCTCTTTATTTTTACTCCTGAAGTGACATGTATCTGAATTTACCTTTGCGTTTTCATGTCACACCAGTGTCTGGGATGTTGTGCCATGAAGCTAATAATGACTTTTAAATGAATAGGATGGTAGTGTTGACCACAGAGGACGAAAGGGTAATACCAGGAACAAGTGCCTCTAAGGAAATTTTTAAAAATCCATTTGCTAGAGCATAACATCATCTTCAAATGGATTGCTGTGTGCTGAGATAATTRTGGCTGTTTTGTTATAAAATGCCAGAGCATGAGCTTGCTGGGTGGCAAGAYAAAGGAACTACTTCTTGGGTTTGTTGTTTTCTTTTGAAGATGGAGCTTGGGAACTTTGGTACATAGTGTGATTCGTTGGATGGGACCATTTTGGCAAATCTGGTTTAAATCAAAAATTACGCAGTGCAGTGTCTTGAAAGGCTACCATTGCAGTGAGTTTACACACATAAATTAGGCTTTCTTCTGTTGTCTTTTAAAAAGCAAAGTGCTTCTCCCATTATGATTTCAGGTGTATGCAAGTTTGTCAGTTGTGGTAGTTTTAAGGATTTTGTAATGCATATGAATGTGATTTATGGTCTGTTTCAGCAGTCTCTAATTTTTGGGGAGATCTTCTGCAGGGATYTGTCTGTGGATTTCTTCAGTAAACCCTTGCTACTTTCTGTTTTTTTAGCCTGAGGTAGTGGGGAGACTCTTTCACTCTGATTTTTCTGGGAATTAAAAAGTTGGTTGTGAAGCTTAATGGATTTTCCTGTCTTTGATTAGAAGCATCTCAAATTGAAGAATGACTTACCAGTTAAACTTTTTTTGTTTCAAGTACATTTTTTCTTTGGAGTGCAAGTTGTTACCTTGTGCCTATTCTGACTTGTTTTAAAAAGTGCCYGGAGAAAGAGGCCGTGATGGTCTGGGAAGATGGTAAACAATCAACTCCTGTAAAACAAGCCATGCATCAGTTGCACTGTGGAAAAAARTGTCTGTTRAAAAGCCARGATTCAGCATGTTTTTCCTCCAGTGGCAGGAAGGCATTTGAAACATGTTTGGGAGCAGTTAGTGATAAGAATTTGTGTATTTAGATTTATYGCAAGCTTTCTAAAAGTACTCTTGATTTCTTGATCTTGCAGAGACTCCAACCGTCATGTTAAGGTAAAGCAGAAAAGTGCAGTGCTGAACATGCTAAAGAAGTTGGACAAAATAAGGTTCAGAGGTCACAAGAGAGATGAGTTCCTTGATTTGGCAGAGTCTCCAAATGCTTCAGACACTGAATGTGGAGATGAAATTCCGGTGAAAATACCTCGAACGTCAGCTCAAAGCAATGAAGAGCTGAGAGACCCTGTAAGTACTCAATTTCAGTTGAGTAATAATCATTATATTGTGTTTAATAGCAGTTAAGCCAAAAAACCCCAGAAATTACTAATTTTTTGTGATTATATATTACGGTTGTAACACTTGAAGATTTGTGGACTAGGAAATAACTTCGCAGTAATAGGCTTCCATTTTGTGGAAAGATCAATTTATTTGTTAATATTAGRATTCCCTGTCCCTGCTTTTAATTTTAGATATTGTGAGTTGACAGGTTTGTTAACTTTGTATATGCTTCTGAATGCTTTCTGWTTTTTGTTTTGTTGAATTACTAATGAACACATGAAAAAGAAAAGAGAACTTTTCAGTCTGAGGAGCTCAGATTTACTCAAATGGCATTGTCCAGGACTTCAAGGATGAGACTTCTGGTTGCTTCATTAGTGTTAGAGGGTCACATCTCCTCCTTCACGCCAGTGTTGCATACAGCAATGCTTCTATGCTGCTAGAGCTGGTTCAAACTTGTGAAGGAGGTGCTAAAACATTTTGGTGATTGTAAGCAGAAGCACCAAAGCACACCTGCCTTTTTCAAATACACTGCTTCTGGGCAAGTTAAATATTGGTTAAAAAAGTACAACAAAATCCTTTACTAGTTAAAAATGTGGCTGTGGATCCATGAGCTTGGAGTGCTACAGTGTAAATTTAGATTTGTCTRTTTAACTGTATTGTAGAAATGACTTGGAAGTCACAATTTCTATCACGCTGTGAAAACTTACTGTGCAAATTTTGTCCCCAAAATGTGATCACACTGTTGTCTGAAGACCCATTTCGATGAGCAAGGGACTTGCTCACAGCAAGTTGTAAACTAAAATATTTCAGACTGTATATGCATATGCATCTCCTTTGGGGTTGGCAGCTTGTATCCAGTTCTGTAGCTATTAGCTTTCTAAAATGTAAGTGACCTTGTATGGTACCACATCTAGTCCTGCTTATGGAGGGCTTTTTTGCCAGAATGTTTTTCTTGTGATCATGGAACAAGCAGGTGGTAATGACAGAGCATGTTTTGGTCACAAAAAGTCTGTTATATGTAAATCCTCAAGCTTCTCAGACAAGGAAGTCTGTTAAATGCCATTCCTTTGCTCTTATTCTACTGAAGACATCTGTCATTTGTTAAGATGTAAGTATTGTGTATACTGGGACCGATCTCTGCTGCTGCCCTTCCAGTGTGGGATTTTGTGTGTTTTTTATAGGTAAATACTGGCTTATTTTTATTAAACTTAAGGCTCTATGTTTATCTGTGGGTATATATTACATGCCCTTTGTATTTAGTCAGAAGTGTCTGGGTGACAGAACTAGAGGCTACAGAAATATCTGCCTTAAACTCCAGGTACTATTTTCTGTATTTCTTCGGGGCATAGCATCTCCAGGATGGGGTGGAGGGTAGCAGAGAGAACAGCAAGGTGAACCTACAGTTTGAATAGTTAGTTACAAAACCTCAACAGCTACACATCTACAGCAGTGGTCTCTTGTTTTCTCGAAATGTTGAGCCCTGTGCGCTGAGAAGGGAACTTGGAGAAACACTTTGCTTTCTGGCTGCTTACATACTGCTGCAGGCTGGTGTGATCTGAGTCCTTGGGCTACAGTTGACTGCAGTTCTTTAAAGTCAGGGRGAAAGGGAGAGAGGAAAGCAGCAAYGGCATCAACCTTGTTTTGCCCCACTCGTGATGTTTGGCAGCTTCAAACCCAGTGTGATGCTGGAACAGCCTAAGAGCAGCAGCTGTATTACAGRTGTGAGCAGAATAAGCAAATCTGTATGAGGAAAGAGGTCTGACATATGAGGGATAAATTTCAGATGAAAAGTCCGAGGGATTAGCAGTTGGCCCTAACAGGCATCTGCCCAGTAAGCACTGCTGCCCATCTGGAAAATGAAGAGAGAAAAAATAATCCCCTGTGCTGCAGAGGTGCCAAGAGTGAAGAAAGTAGTGCTTATATATTTAAATCAATATTAAAGTAGTGGTGGCTAAGCTTGTTTAAACAGTGCAATTCTGAATTATTTGTCTGTTTCTTATTGAGATGACATAGTTGAATTGTGCCTGAATTGGTTTTAATTCAGTGTCTAAAACTCATATCTTAATTGCTTGCAYAGGGTGTTTTATAGGCTCTATAAGCAGGAGTATTGTGCTTGTATTGCACTGATCATGAGAAGACCAAGTCTTACTGGTTTCTTCCTGTTTAATACCTTTGGGAAACTRTTGAAAGCACACAAAAACCAGTGCAAGTCTTCTGTGTAAATGGAAGTTAGGCTGCGTGTCTTTTCAGATAGATGTGATCTGTACTGTGCTTTCACTTCTGTTCCTTTATTGTTTCCATTGAAATCTGGGTGCAGAACTCACGGTCTTGAAAAAGCAAGACCAGTGGCTTGGAACTGAGCATAGGCATGAAGAATTAGAGTCCTGGTCCTCTTATCAGCATCTTCCCTGTCAGCTATTCCCTAGACATTTCATCTGTGCCCCTCTCTGCTTTCCTCCCCCTGCCCCTGCCTGGTATATTAATCATTATGAAGGCATTAAGGAAAGATCTCTGTCGATGAGATCAGTACAGTCATATGAATGAAGGAGCCTTATGTGCCTCACAGGTTTGCAGTGCACTTAAAAATGTGCACGAGGTGCCTCTTCATTAGGTATGTATGTGGACTTGACAAGCGTATGCAAAATCTTGATACAAATGGAGGTTTCAGAGTAAAAAGCCTTGTCATAAAAGCTTGTGATTGCAGAGCCCTGACCATCTGCCAGGGTGAGCATCATCCTCTGTTGCACTTCCAGCAAATGAAGTGARTGTTCAGTCCCAGGCCACGGATTCTGCAGTGGCACTTAGTACCCGCACTTCACATGCCTTACTGAAGTAACACATGTAAAATTTACACCTTGCARAAAGAAAGAAAGGATGGCCAGATGAGAGGTCATTTCATATTCTTTCTCTTAAAACTGTGGGGTTTACCTATTTAGTTCAATAATAAACATCCTAACCTGTGTTTTAGTGAAGCACACAGCTAGCTCCTGACTGGAGGAATCTGGWTATTGAAGGATTTATATTTTCCTTTGAATCCTCAGTGGTTTCTGAGAGTTTTTGTTCAAAAGATGACTTAGTTTKAGCTAGTTTGGATTTCACTTACAGGCTGGCTGATTGCTTGTGTAGGTTTCCCTCTCTCATTTAAGTGCCCCAGCTACCAGATACGCCTTGAATAGCAGATACTTTCTTATGTCTCTGTGATCAGGTCATTGCCAAGACAGCAGTGCTGGTTAACATATTTAACTCCTTGTTAAAC